GGGAAAAAGGAGGGGGGGGGGGGGGGGGGGGGGGGGGGGGGGGAAGAGTCTTCGCGACCATGTAATTTCCTCGGGTCTCGGTCTCCGCTTTCGAGAAACAGGTTACAGGATTACGCAATCGATTGCGAGCGTCGGGATCGCGATCGGTTCGTTGGAAACCAAAAATTGACCGGAGAATTCTTCGACCTCCATACTCTACACGCACACGTTGGACGATGTATCGCACGGTGTACGCGCACGCGCCAATGCATATACGTATAATCACCTAAATACGTTCTTTGTCCAAATACTCTTGCTTTTCGGCCAGGAACACGAATCGATACGGCCTCCCAAGAATACGGTCCAAAGTCGGTCGCAGCCTTCGGTTCCATAAAACGCGACTCGTTCCACCCCGTCATGTCGCAACCGAGATCGCGGCGCGAGAACCGAACGTTCGTAACAGCCGAGTCCCGGAAAGAAACAAGGACAATTAGGACATTCCCGGTGAAACGTTTCCTCCGTTCGTGACCGTAGAAGAAATCTCTTCCGGCCGCGGGACCGATTAACGCGAAAACGCGAACGATTCGGGCAATCTAACGCGAGAAGAAAGGACCAACGAATCGGTCTCCGGGAATACCGAGGTCTGGAGTCGGGTTACCGAACTCGGAGAGACCACTTTCACCGGGCGAATTCGACCGATGGGCCAGGTCGGTAGGCGGACCAGGCCCGAAACAGCCCTTGCGCAATCGCGCGATCGCGCGACCACGCAACCGCGTAGCCCGCTAACCCGGTAGCCGCGACGATTCGAGCCACCGGAAAATCACGACGACGGGATCCCGTCCACCTTTCTCGTCTCACCTTGTTACCGAGTGCACCCGCCGCCGCCGCTGCCGCCGCCGCCGCCGCGCAAGATACGCGCAGCTTACGAAACGCTTTCTCCCTCGTATGATGGATATTTTAAGTATGCGGCCTGCACCGCTTCCTGCAACACTGGACGGGCCAGCGGTGCGTGCACGAAAACGACGAAAATCGACGGGGGAAAAAAAGCGAACGACGCAACGTGCAACGTGCAACGTGCAACGCGCGCGCGCGTATCTTGCGGTGGAGCTGTACGCGCGTCGCCGAGACCGTGGATCGTGGACGCGATCGTTACCTTGCTCTCAACGCCGACTCCTTTCTGGAAGCGAGTCGGTCCGCGGCCGTTCGACCGGAACGCGACCGAACCGATTTCGCGATATATCGCGCCGGAAATCCAACGAGCCGAACGGACTTCGCATCCCATTTTTTCTTTCCGCGCGAGCGAACCGTGACGCGAAAACATTTTCCCTGTCGCTGGCCGAGACCGCGCGATTAGGCGAGCGTTACTCAACCTTGGTCGCTGTTACGCGCCGATTCGACCGTTGACCGTGATCGGATCGCCACCGACGATCGATCCGCTCGGACGGCTTTTCCTACGGCCGGACCGGATCTTCGCGGATTCGCGCGTCGTCCGATCTTCGTAGGTTCCACGGAAATCGCGAATTTTCTAATCGATCGACGCGGTAAACCGTGCACCGGAACGAATCCGTTTCGAGCAAAGGGAGTTTGGACGGTTCTCCGGCGCTCCGTTGGGAAGCGTTGCACCGACGTCGGGCCCGCCGCGACCTCGTCTTCGTTGATCGGAAGCGTCGCGCGTCGACGGTATCGCGAGTTCGCGGACAAAACCGGGCCCGCGATCTTCCTCCGTTCGAGCCGTTCGCAGCTACGGTCGATAGCCCGAGTTATCGGATACCTACGACGACGAGATCTTCCCGGCCCGCTCGATCCACCGTGGTCGGCCGACGCCGAGCCAGACGCTCGGCTCGGATACGATTAACGCGGAATCGCGTAAGCGCGTTTCAATTTCGTACTCGCACTCGCGCGATCGTGTCAGCGACCCGATGTCGAGGTGTCTCGCGCGCGTCGACCGCGCCGAGATGGATCGGGAGATGTTTTCGTCGCGTTGCGTCATTCGGAATTCGAACGAGCGACACGCAACCGAATTTCTCTTTTTCGTGAAACGATCGATGCTCGCCGATCGACCGTCGCGGAAATTGCGGGGCGCGATCCCGACGCCGGCGGGAGGCGGTGGCGAGAGTCTCGACAGATGTTTCGCGTATCTCGAAAAGCAGCTCGTCGTTTCGATAATTATGACAACGGCTGAAATAGGCCGAGACAACGAGAACGCGATTTGCCCGAACGCGCAATATCCTTTTCCGAATCTGCCGGGTTAAATCGTTCGCGGAATGCAACGTTTCGACGACGTCCGCGTCGGCACGGTCGTTTTCGGGGCCGCTCGGAAATTCCCGATTCGAGAACAGAGGATATCGCGAAATTGCCGAGATCGCGTCCTCGAACCGACGTCGCCTTTCGTCGGTTCGTCCATCTTCGAAAAACGTAAGAACGAACGAAACGAACACTTTTCGATTAGAATATCCATCCGACGATTCGACCGAACGGTTGGCGCCTGGACGCCCGCGTCCACGCCCGCGTCCACGACCATGCACGGAGCGCGCGTACGATTTACTCCACTTACCGGAGATTTTCGCAGAGCCGGATGTTGTTCGCGCAGCGGGGACCGATTATGGGGCAAGAGCGAGCGCCTAGAAAAATCATTCGACACGCGTTCCACAAATTACGATAACTCGTAATACGCCCGTTCGACGGAGCTTTCTCCTCGGCGCGGCGTCGTTACACGGGTGTCGATGTTTCGCGAGAAAAATGTATTCGATGCGCGATTCACGATGGATATAGGAAACGATTCGATTCGAAAGCGGCTACGAGGAAACGATATTCGCCGGGATTCGCCCGCTTCCCGATATCCGAAACGTTCTTCCCTCCGTCGGACGTCGTAATTTTTGAAAAACGTCGCCTCCGCCGAGTCGCTTCCGCTTTCCCGGATTCGATTCGATCGTACGACCGGTAACCGGTAACGAGCGGATCCAAATGTTCCGCTGCCGGACGTTGTTCCATGCTATAAAACCGCCGTCGATCGAGACCACGCGATCTCGCTACGTTGCAAAGAGTAAACTTTTCGTTCTTCCGTTCCGTTTGCCGCGAACGGATAAGTCGATGAAATATTTCGCCGTTCGAAGGTGTCCGGTAAACGTCGACCGACGACGCTGCCGCGGTCGCGCCGAGCCGCGCCGAGCCGCGCCGGGAAAGGGACGCGGAACCATCGAGAAGGCCGCACGGCCTCGGACATCGCGGAGATTCGCTTTCGAGCGGCACTTTTCCCGGATTTTCCCGCCCCGTCCCGAGCGTCCCGTCTCGCTCATCCATAATGCAAGCGATAATGGAAAGAATCGGCGCGTTACCGTTTTCTATCGACCGCGCAACGATCCCGCGCGACGGCGCTATTCGCAAAGCGTTCTCCGCCGTTCGAACAGCGTGCACGACTCGTCGAGACTTTATAGACTTTGCATCATGAAGCGACGCAGCGATTGGCCCACGCGCTGCTTCGCGCGATTACGCGGTCGAGTTAGCCGACGACGCGTCCCGTCGCGGAACACGCTGAACGAACGTAACCGGAGAGACGGCCGCTTCCTAGCTTTTACGTAACAGCAAAGTCGAGCGACTTTACCGCTTGCCGGCTCTCCCACCCCGGTGGCGGTGTTTCGCCGGGTGGTTTTGGACACCTCGGATCCTCCTTTATAAGCACGCATCCCCGACCGTCCAAAGCCAGAAACGTATCGACACCCGTGAAACAGCGGTCGTCGCGTGTTCGCCGATCGTCTCATTCGTCGCTTTCGTTCGGTTCTCGCCTTCGCCGGTTCCCTTCGTTTCCGCGACCGTGCGTCGTTCGACGACAAACCGGATCGCCGATCGCCTAGGAAAACTTTACCCGACAACACCCGGACAGCCTACCGAGATGCGCTCCCAGAGCATCGTTGTGAGTAACGCGGATCGCGCGTTCGACGATTCGCGATCGAGGTTTCCGCGATCGACGGCCGTGGCTCGCGTCTCGGATTTCATTCGTAGTCCGTTTTTAAACGTTCGTTTCTCCCGTTAAAGCCCCGCGCTCGGTTCTCGCATTTTTTCGCGTCTCGATTTCGATATTTTCTTCTTCGAAGTCTCGCGCGCGATCGTCTTTTTTCTTCGTTGCATCGCGTCGCGTCGCGCCGATGTTTTATTTATTTTCGCGCGTAACTCTACGCGATTCTCTCGCCTACGTGAAAAGCAGGCGAAGCGTCCAGCTCGCGATCGCGAGTTCGATTCGCTCGGCAGTCCGGTAATCCGGTAATCCTAAATATTTTCGAACGCGTTCTCTCTTTTCGAACCGTGTATACAACGGTGTACACGGTGTGCGCGTCGCGCACGGTGAAACGCGAAAGGGGAAAGAATATGCGGCCGCGCGTACGCGATATCGAAGCCTGCGAGCGAATCGCGAATGCGGTTGCAGTCTTATGGACGAATCAGAAATTCGTGTTCGTGTTGCAGTTGATCGTGTTCGGAATACTGGCCGTGGCCTTGTCTTCGCCGGTGCCGGGCTACCACGGGTAAGTCGTCCAAGCGTCTCGTCGCGTCTCGCGGATCGTTCTCTCCGCGATCGATGGCGCGTCTCCGCGGAGGCTGTTGCGCGATCGGTCCGGAGATACGATCGACGAACCGTGGATCTTCGCGCGCATACGTATATCCGCGAAAGAAAACTATCGGCGAACGTAGGTTTCGTTTCGCCGGCGTCGAAAATCCATCCGACGTCGAAGATTCGAGCAAGAGACGTTTTTTCGTCCAGCGACTCGAATCGCGCGGGAAACGTTCGTCGCGGGCGACGCTCGAACGTCTTGGGAAAATGTCGAGCGTCGGCCGAAAGAACCGCGGAACGAATCGTTTCCGTCGATCGGCGCGCGGCGATCGCCGATACCTGTCGCGAATTTCTATACGTATGCTCGCGCGGACGCGGAGTAGCCCGACGCGGAAATAACCTCGTTTCGAAAGATAATCGATTCGTCCGATTGCAGTTCTTCGCACCAGCACGTCCGCATCCACGTGCCTTATCACGTGCACACGGTCCATCATCATCACGTGAAGAAGGTACCCGTGCACCACGTCGAGAAGGTGCCCGTGCCGGTGCCGATCCCTGTCCATCACGTGGAAAAGGTTCACGTCCCTGTCCCGGTTCATCACGTCGAGAAGGTTCACGTGCCGGTGCCTGTCGTCGAGAAGGTCCACGTGCCCGTGCCCGTACCCGTCCACGAGGAGAAGAAGTGGTGGTAACGGGAGCGCGCTTCGCCGTTCGCCTCGATCGTTGCCCGGGTGCGCGCGGATACTCGGACTGCTCGAACCGTTCCGAACGCTTCCAAAATCCTCGCTCGTTTCGAATATATTCCGGCGGGCGCGGCGTCGCGCGAATCCAACTCGTCCAACGACGAGACTCCGACGGAGGATATCCGACCGGGGCTAGGATATCCGAGGATATCCGTTCGGATCGGACGGACGGACGAGGTCGATGCCGGATTTCTTCTTTCCTCGTCGAAAAGCTGCGCGACGACATCGAGATCCACCGCCGCGCTTCGAAGAGCGGACGCTTTCGGAACGGGGTCGAAATGGAGGATAAATTTCTGGACGAGGAACGTCGGATCCGCGAATCGCGCCTGTACGACGAGCTCGCGTTTTTCGTTGCAGGTCGCGAAGCGAACGCGTTCCAGTTACCAAAACTACCCGATCTCGTCGCTCGTATCGGTCCACGCCGCCCAAAATTCGTTTCAGGTGGCGGCGGCGGCGGCGGCGGCGGATCTCGTTCGTGCCGGAAAAGGAGAAGGCGGGGAATGGTGCGAAGCTGTCTCGAACGGGGTCTGGGTTGGTCGCTCGAGTACGCGCGTACGTAAAACGCGCTTCCGCGTACTTGCGATCGGAGTCTTGTATCCAAGACGCTTCTATGTACATATATTGGTATTACGTTGCATCATGTTATTTTTATACAATACACGTGTTTGAAAAACGTCGCGTCGACCGCATTATTTCGAGCACACCTTTCACCCCGGAAGAAACTTTGCCGTCTTCCTCGAACCACGCCGCCGAAGAATTCTTCGGTCGGTCGTTTTGCTCGGACAACGCGGCCAACGGGCAACGCGCGGAAGAGACCGCGCGTCGATCTCGCCGGAGGTAGAAACGAGATGCGCCGTTTTCGGAGGTCGGGGATAGAGTTTCGACGAAACGCTCGAACAACGGAACAAAACGTTTAATCGACGGTCAACGATCGCGTATGTACAAAGGAAAACGTAACAAACGATAACGAATACGGATAACAAATAACAAATAGGTAGAGAAACGCTTGCTCCCGCGGCGTCACCACTCTTCTATGTGTTTGTGTCCATCGTCCTCTTCCTCGTGCTTCACGTGATGAATCTTCTTCACTCGAGTATGGTAGTGCTTATGAATCAACTCGGGCACGTGGATGACGAAGTGCGTGCTGGGGGAAACAAACATCGTGTTTCGAGTCGACGAGGCGAGCGATAAATATTTGACGTCGTTCGTACGAATATCGCGAATAATATTTACTGTTCGTGGTGACCGCCGCCGGGGATGGGCATCGAAGACACCAGGGCCGTCGAAACGACCAGAACGAAGAGGAGAATCTGAAACGAAGCACACGATTCTCGCGTCAACGAAAATGTCTCGGCTAAAAGACTGCTAAGGAAACGGAGGCGAAGGAAACGGACTCGAAGGAAAAGACGAATTCGAGGATTCGTTGATTTCCGTTCGCGCGCGAATCGAGACGAGTCGAGTCTACGGCGGCTCGAGTCCGGAGCGATTCGAGCAAAATCGAAAAAAAAAAACGAACGAATCGTGTCGCGTTACGAGTTCGGGTGAAAGCGTCCGCGATTAAATCGACCGAATCGCGCGCGTCGTTCGGATGCTGGTCGGTGAAACGATCGCGAGATCGTCGAGATACGTTCGTCGAACCTGCCGTCTCGACGTCGGCAACCGACGAATCTTCGTTTCAAAATTCTCTAATTATTCACGGCGAACGAATAATTTTCCATAGAATCGATCGTTCCGCGAAGAGATCGGACCGAGGTGAAAATTCCAGAATCGAGGTACGATCCGTCGCGATCGAAGCGAAAGAGGGCCAGAGTATCCGCGCTCGTCCGAGCTTACGAAATACGGAAGCGGAATATCGGCGATCGCGATAAAACGCGCGCGCGCGCGCGCGCGCGTTAGGAAACGTTTAATTTTACGGAAGCCGAGAGCGAATCGATCGCGGTTCGCGTGAAAAATATCCGCGGGAAATTCTTTGCGCGGTCGGATATTCGGAAAAGGCAGATTTTCTTTTAACGCGATTCGACACCCACGTGCGCTTTCCTGTCCATGGCGTCGGCGCGGCGCGTCGCGGCTCGGCTCGGCTCGGCTCGGCTCGAAGGCAAGGCTCCCCGAAGGCAAGGCTCCTCGAAGACGAGGCTCCTCGAAGGTAGATTCTCCGAAGCTAACTAGGAGTCGCGATTCTGCCGGGCCTTATAAACGGAAGCACAATCGGTGAATGGTACAGGAACCGACGGAATATTTCCTGCGCGCACCCCACCCAAATCCGTTTCCTTCCCTCTCACTCGGACGTAACAACGCGGAATTTCGCGCGTTCGGGTTCGCGCTCGCGTTCGCACTCGCTTCGAACGTTCCATCGTCTTGGCGTACGCAGGGTAGGCGCAGTGGTCGTCGTCGATCGAGCGAGGGCCCTTCGACGCGTTTTCGCTCGCGCGTCGATTTTACGGAGAGGCTCCCTCGCGGGACGGAAGTAAGAGCGCGATCGAGAACCCGCGGGCAAGGTCCGTGTCCGAGGAGAAAGGATCGATTTTTCTGGAGATTCGACCGGAGCTTTGCCCGTGAAAGTCGGAAAGCGATCGGCTCCACGCACAAATGTCACCTTTTACGATTTTAGGACCCGTCGCTCTTTCGTTCGGTCAAAGTTTCGGAATTTTAGCAATTTTCACGAACGCGAATAAATCGCGGTTCGGCGATGGTGCTTCGAAGGATTCGAGTGCGTCGAAAAGAAGGTACCGCGTCTTCCTCCAAATAATAATCTCGGAAGAAGTCGATACCGCTGTTTCTACCGAAACGTTGCCAAATAATCGATGGCAAATAACAATTTAAGAACGTATTCGTTTCCGACGCGAGCTCGACGTAAATTCAACGCAACGCCGTCTATCCTGATTTTGAAGAATATCGTAGCAATTCGGGTTTATCCGTCCTGACGCGACGCGGGTCAAATTCGATCGACGCGAACGCGCGTCGCCTCGACCCCGCCTCGTTCGGCCCAGCCGCGGCAGCGCGCAGCGTATCGTCGGCTTCCCGACAGATTCGTGGCCGGTGTCTTTCGACGAGACGGACAGTCGCGACGAACGCGACGTTCTCTCGAGACGTCCGCGCCCCTTCGAGAATTCTGCGCTTCCCCTGCTCGGGCAGTTCGGTTTTGGTTTCGGTTCGCGTACGAAATTTCTTCGGATGAACAAACGGGGTTCCTGACCGAGGAAAGCAAACGAATCGGCAATTTTTGTATCGCGGCGTCGACGGACCGGGAACGTCGAACGCGCGCAGTCTTCGTTACGACGCAGAGCGTTCGTTCTTTTTTCGAGACCGCGCGAAGGTGAGAAAAACGTTGCAGTCGCGTCCAATCCTTCTTTCGCTTTCGCTGCTTCGTTGCTCGTTGACCCGCGACGCTTCCGAACGAACGTTCGCCGCTGCGAAAATTCGCGGCGCGATCGATCGACTTTCTCGTAAAAGATCGGGAAGGTCGTAACCGTTCGCATCGACCGCGACGATATTCGAGGCGTCGTTCGAACGAAAGGTTCTCGGTCGGCCGTGGACGAAGGACAAGATCGGTGCGAGCGGCGCGAATCCAACGACGCGCGAGTGAAATCGTTCTCCTCCGTGCGGCGCAACATCTGCTGCTCTCTTTCACTTTCCGCTTACTTTCCATTTCGAGTCGATTCTAGAACGTGCCGAACGCGCGCAACGCGCAGAACCTGCGGAACGATTATCGTCGTCGTTATCGAAATATCGTTGCGTCCGGATCGGAAAGTATCTTCAGGAATCGTCGGGCGATCCCCTCCGATCGAACCGAGATTCGATATCGAATTCCCGAGACGATATCGATTCCTCGGAAGTCGACGCGAAGGAGCGAGGACGGGAGAGATTTCTCTGGAACAAAGTCGTTCGACGTCGATTATCGGCACCTGCCGGTAAAATTAGGAGAAACCGTGAAATCCTTTGCGAGCCGCGAGCTACGTATCTCCATGCGAGAAAACCCGATTCGAGAGAGACGCGGAGCATCTCGACCGATCGACGAATCGCGGATTTTTATGAAAAAGAAAAAGCGTCTTTCTTCGTCGATCGCGAAACGCCGAGGCCCGATGGCGCAATCGCTTTCTTCCAAAAACGATCGCATCGTCGACGAGTCGAGTTATGCTGGAACATCTTCGAATTCTGGATCGTTCGATGCACACCACGGTTGCGATAAACGCGTAACCGTGGGACCGGAACGATCCGACCGCTTTTTACAAAATTCGTCGAAAAACGTCCAGCATCGTTCCGGTTTTAAAGGACGCGTTCGGTAAACGTGTCCGCGACTGTAGGAAAAGTACACCGCTTTAAAAATTCGATAGAAAAATCGTCGAGGAGACTCCGCCGATCGCTTGGAATTTTTCCCCGCGATGCTCCGGTGTTTCGTCGTTCGGTTAAACGACGATGGATAAACTCGCCGTGTAAAAAAGTAGAAAACAATTTATTTAAACGTAACAAAGCGGTATTTACAGAGCGCAGGGTATGTACAAAACGCAGCGATGGTGCAGCGAGCAAACGGTCGGGTATGCGGCGATACCGATCGCGGCAAGATAAACGGTCGACTGAAAAAGGACGCTACGCGACGGCGAGCGAACGGTCGCGCGAAACATCTATTCGACGATCTCGAAACGAGTGCAGCTGAAAGAATGTGCTTCGGACGTCGTTCGTTGCACGCGTCTCGGTAGTCCGAGCCGACCCTTCTTCGCGGTCGACCGGGAAACCAAAACGGCCTCTGGCACGACGGATCGGCGATCCTTGCCGTGCCGGATCGTCGGTCCCGTTCCGGTAGCGCTCCCGCGACGCTTTTTCGCATCGTTCGACTCCCGGTGTCCCAAGATCTCGTTTCCGCGAACAAAGGAGACGGACGATCGATCGATCGAAATGGCCGGACAAGATCGGTACGACGAAAATTACGGTTCGCGGAACGGGAAATTGGGATCGATCCCCGTCGAATCGGCGCGGCGCGGCGTTTCGTTCTCGCGTATTTACGCCGAACGCTGGATGCCGGATGCCGGATGCCGGATGCCGAATGCTGGAAGCTGGGTGCTGGGCGTTGAACGCAGGGCGCGATGCGACGATCGATGCCGAAAATAGGTCGGAAGGACGATGCTCCTCCGCGGTCGGTATTATTTCTTCTTGTGGTAACCCGAGAAACCACCGTGACCGCCGCCGCCGCCTCCGCCACCGCCACCGCCGCCTCCGTGACCGCCGGAATAGGAATCGTAACCACCGCCTCCGCCATGGCCACTGAAACAAGTATACTTCTCGTAAATCCGCGCTTCGATATTTGCGAATGTCGATCGATCGATCGATCGAACGATGAAACCCGGAAGAGCTATCGCCGCCGATATTTTTGGATTCGTTCATCGTCGGAAAATTGATTTCTTCCGTAATTTATGTATAATTTCGTTAACCGGCCCTCACCTGCTTCCAAAGCCCGACGATACGCCCCCACCTCCGCTTCCGCCGTAGCTGCTGAGACCGATGTGATGATCGCCACCTCCGAAACCTCCTCCGTGGCCTCCGCCGCCTCCGAAACCACCTCCGTGGCCGCCGCCGCCTCCGAAACCACCTCCGTGGCCGCCGCCTCCTCCGAAACCACCTCCGTGACCTCCACCTCCGCCTCCTCCGTGTCCTCCTCCAAATCCACCTCCACCGAAACCTCCGCCTCCGCCGCCGCCGTGATGGTCTTCTATGATAATAGCAGCTCCTCCGCCGCCATGGCCGCCTCCTCCACCGAATCCGCCACCGCCGTGGTGGTCGTCGAAGCCTCCGCCGCCTCCGAATCCACCGCCGTGACCACCGCCGCCTCCTCCTCCGAATCCTCCCCCTCCGCCGCCGTGGTGGTCGTCGAAACCACCGCCGCCGCCACCGCCGCCATGGTCTTCTATGATAATGGCTCCTCCGCCGCCTCCGAATCCTCCACCGTGACCACCGCCGCCTCCGAATCCTCCGCCGTGGCCACCGCCGCCTCCGAATCCTCCTCCGTGACCACCGCCTCCTCCTCCGAAGCCTCCTCCACCACCGTGGTGGTCACCGAAACCTCCGCCGCCACCACCACCGCCGCCATGGTCTTCTATGATAATAGCTCCTCCGTGGCCTCCGCCGCCTCCGAATCCTCCGCCGTGGCCACCGCCGCCTCCGAATCCTCCTCCGAAGCCTCCTCCACCACCGTGGTGGTCACCGAAACCTCCGCCGCCACCACCACCGCCGCCATGGNACCTCCGTGGCCGCCGCCGCCTCCGAAACCACCTCCGTGGCCGCCGCCTCCTCCGAAACCACCTCCGTGACCTCCACCTCCGCCTCCTCCGTGTCCTCCTCCAAATCCACCTCCACCGAAACCTCCGCCTCCGCCGCCGCCGTGATGGTCTTCTATGATAATAGCAGCTCCTCCGCCGCCATGGCCGCCTCCTCCACCGAATCCGCCACCGCCGTGGTGGTCGTCGAAGCCTCCGCCGCCTCCGAATCCACCGCCGTGACCACCGCCGCCTCCTCCTCCGAATCCTCCCCCTCCGCCGCCGTGGTGGTCGTCGAAACCACCGCCGCCGCCACCGCCGCCATGGTCTTCTATGATAATGGCTCCTCCGCCGCCTCCGAATCCTCCACCGTGACCACCGCCGCCTCCGAATCCTCCGCCGTGGCCACCGCCGCCTCCGAATCCTCCTCCGTGACCACCGCCTCCTCCTCCGAAGCCTCCTCCACCACCGTGGTGGTCACCGAAACCTCCGCCGCCACCACCACCGCCGCCATGGTCTTCTATGATAATAGCTCCTCCGTGGCCTCCGCCGCCTCCGAATCCTCCGCCGTGGCCACCGCCGCCTCCGAATCCTCCTCCGAAGCCTCCTCCACCACCGTGGTGGTCACCGAAACCTCCGCCGCCACCACCACCGCCGCCATGGTCTTCTATGATAATAGCTCCTCCGTGGCCTCCGCCGCCTCCGAATCCACCCCCGTGACCTCCGCCACCTCCGAATCCTCCTCCGTGACCTCCGCCGCCTCCGTATCCGCCGCCGAATCCGCCTCCGAATCCACCTCCGTGACCTCCTCCGTGGCCGCCGCCGTGGTGGTCTTCGATGATAATGGCGCCTCCGCCACCGTGGCCGCCGCCGCCGCCACCGCCGAAACCGCCACCGTGGCCGCCGCCACCGCCGAAGCCGCCTCCGAAGCCGCCTCCGCCGCCGTGATGGTCGTCGAAGCCTCCGCCGACTCCGGGACTCGTTATTATCACGTCTCCGTGTCCGCCTGTGCGAGCAATTCGTTTCATTGTTAGATAGACGCTTCGAGAATCGGCACGCTTCATCGAATAATTGCGATGCGAATAAGTAGAAAAATAATTTTCTTATCCTTCGAAACAATTGTCCTGGAAATATATATCGCGATCGCCCAAAGAGAACGCGAGAGAAGAGGTTTCGTTATCGTCTCGAACAAAGTCGCGAAACCGTTGCAGCGCGCTCGACGCGTTCGTCCGCGTGTCACCGAGGTCCGCGATATTCGCCGGGAAGCCAGTGGCCGAGACTCTCCTTTCCCTCTCGGTTCTATCGCGAACGCGATCTTCGCGGAGAAACTTTCTGCTCGAACCACGAGTAGGAATTCTCACCTTTCCGTGGAAAACGAACCCGTGGAAGATACGAATTCCGCGAGCGTCGATAACTCGAACCGAACTCCTAACCGCTCTATCCTACGCTAACCGGAAACGGCGCGGTTTACCAATTCCCCGAGCTCGATTCTCACCTCCGCCTCCTCCGTATCCTCCTCCGTGACCTCCGCCTCCACCGCCGTGGTCATCGTGCTCCTCGTATTTGACGATCTTCTTCTCGTCGTGCTGAACTATCTCCGGTACATGGATCCTTATGTGCACGCTAGAAAGTTGATACGCGCCTCAGATATTTAATACCGAGTCGATGAAAGTTGCTACGGTCCCGATACGACGGGCTTTGAACTTGACCGTTCTTCGACGATCCCGCGCGCTGCGGGCCAACGATCGAAATTACGACGGTACTATGTACTCACTGTTCTTTGCCGAACGTCGCGAGCGCTGTCGTCAGGATCGTCGCGAAGACCAGGCATCTTATCTGTGGACAGATTTCGGCATTCTTTGATCTTCTCGTTCAACTTTTTCGTCGATTTTTCCATCCGACATCGACTCGGAATCGTCGCTCACGGCAGACGAACGATAGAAAAGATCGCGTTCGTATTTCCTACGAAACGGCGAGCGCGTAAAATTTCATCGAAATTCTTTAGGACGTTCCGGATCGCGAAATCGTGACCGATTTATTATCGGCACCTGCTCGAGGCGAAGCAACCGTCGTTTTTATTACAGCTCGCGTCGACGAACCGCAAAGCCAACGGTTGTCCGCAAATTATCCTCGTTCGCCCGGGCACAGCGATTAGACGCCTCTGCGCGCGGTAGTTACCGCAACGAACGCCGTCCCCTCGAGTCGACGCGATGCTGGAAATGCTAGATTCGCGTCGATCGGGATACGGGACCCGTAAAAATGCCGGGAGACGTTGAGGAGAACGAACGTTCGTTCGCCTTCGAATAAAACGATTCGATGCGTCTTATTCGATGAACGAAAGTCGAATTATGCCCGAAAAGAAACCAAAGGTCCAGCGATCGATCGGTCCCGCGGTAACCGGCTCCGCTACCCCCCGTTCGAACGAATCTGTTCTCGATGGCTACAAAAATAAAGAAAAAAACGATCGGTGTACGAATCTGGCGAAACTGCGTTCGACGTCGTCAACGTAAAAGCGATACAAAAATTTCGGTAAATTATATCGTTGCCATCGAATCGGTACCCCTAGCTTTCCCAATCGATCGTCTCTTCGTCGCGATCCGATATCGCGTATAGAATCGATTTAAAAAAAATACGATCAACCTTGCGAAGCGAACCTCGAACCTCGAACCGGTTGCAAAGCTTTCGTATTTCTCTCTGTCGAAACAAAAGTTTCGTCGGTTTTCCCGCTATTCTCTACGAAGCTGGAACTCGGCGCGTTTAGCATAAATGTTTGCGGTTCGATCGACGCAAATTATCCATCGTTCCATCGATAGATACGATATCCTCGCTCCACCTTCTGGAAACTTCCCTTCGATCCTCTCACTTTCACAAAAATCTCCGAAAATTTGTCGCGGTCGCGCGTTCCCAACACCCAGCCACCCGTAGACCGTAGGATTTCCAAGCTCGCGTAGATCCTTACAGCAGCTATCGTCTCCATGGTCGTGGACTCTCTCTCCCTCTCTCTCTCTCTCCACACTTCCTGCCTCTTCCCGGTCAGCTCTTCTCGATGCTCAAGAACTCACTGTCATATATATCCGGCAAGAATCTTGCCTATATATAGGAGGCCCGAAGGAAGTACCGGAAGACGGGGGACCGAGTGGGGAGAGAAGCGACGATCGGGGCTTCCGAGGAACCGGAGGCGGCCCGGGCGGCGGGCCGGGCGGCGGGCTTGGAAATCGGAGGTGGCCGGAGACGGTGCAGAATCGAGCAACGGCCTACCAGGACGCGCAACCGTTCCGTGCGAATACCCGTCGCGTCGAGTGTGGAGGAACGGCCGTGACCCAGAGTCGGCCACCGGAGAAACTCGTGCTCCGGGCGATTTATCGCCGCCTATGGAGGCTCGCGGCGTCGGTGCCCTCTGGGGTGAGAAGCCTCTCTGGCCGTGAACGCGGAAAGCGAGCGTCGAGTTCCGCGCGATTCGACCTCGAGGAATCCCGTGAGACGCGCGGCCACGGCTCGACGGCCGCTGGATAACCCGCCTTCGCGTCTTTACGGACGGCGCAGTTTCGTCGTCGCGTCGAAGGTAAATATTTCGTCTTCCGCCGATTTTCGAACCGGTAAACGAGGATGTTGGAAATTATCGCCGATGGCGGCACCGCGGATTCGATGCACGAGCATCGAGGATTCGACGTCCGAAGAGCGGTGAAAGGTTCGTTTTATTTCGCCACGGTGAAAATCGATCTCGCACGGTGCTACGAGAGACGGGTGTTTTATGTAACGGTGAAACGATACACATTTTCGGCAGATTTTTTTGCGATCGAGCCGTAGCGACGCGCGCGATCGCAAAAGTTTCGAATAGAAAATCGAAAGTCTGTCTCGAACTCGATCGAAAACGTCAGAGTCGACGTACGTACGGCGGTATTTAAACGTCGTACGACTATACGAGTACGGTACAGCCCGAGTAAAAGCGAATCCATTCGATCGCTGGAACATGAATTTCGGTATGCGAAATTTTCGCTTCGGCGACGATAGAGCAAAGGAACGAGAAAAATTCGCGGCGATGCGCCGACTTTCCTCGGGGACGATCGTTGCACGAATCGGTGGATACGCGAAGAGCTTCGCCGTTCGGGAACTCGGCGCTTTCCCCGATCTCCGGAATAAAAAGAAAACGTGGAACGGAGGGGATGCTTCGTCGCAGTTTGTTCGCGACGCTAGAAAATCGCCGATATTCGCCGGAGTAACGTTTCGCTCGGCTCGTTCGCGTTACCCGTGGATATTCTCCATCGGCGATCCCGTTCAATTTTAGTCGGATGCGTCGAATTCGCTCGAAAAGTATCTATAGACGATTTTATAGCGCATTCCTCGAACAACTTTTACCGCGACCTTACAGGCGGTGCGCGAAGTCGTCGTCGCAACGGCGCGAATGGACGACGATCGTTGTTGGACCGATTATTAGAACGTTCGCGAACCCAACGAGTCGAGTAGGTAATTCCAAATAAACGTCGGCCCTCGTTTCTCGGTTCGAGGACGGTCGACCGCGAGAAAAACGTCGAAACGTTGCGCAACCTGCGCGGTATCGCGCGCTATCGTCGCCGAAGAGTAAAAGTGGATGGAATCGCTTTCGACTCCGAGCAGCTTGCTCGCGGCGGTTGTTCTCCCGTTCCGCGCGAGTAACTCGAGTACCTGTAAAATAACAAACGTACCTACTCGTCGGTTCGTTCCGATCGGAAATGGCATCGTTTTCGGCTCGCGTTTCGTCTTCGATGTTCGTTTCCGGTTCGGGTCTCGCCGCTGTCGCGTAAAGCGTAAAAGCGACGGAGCCTCGGAATCGGAGCGTCGGACCGTAGGACCGTAGCAGAGACGGAGGTCGACGGCGATCGACGGCTATCGAAGACGGACGCGCCGCGACGAGAAACGCGAACGCCGAACGAGCGGGGCGATTAACCGATGCGAAGGATCTCGCGGTGCGGTAACGGGCGCGAGGGAATCGTTGGAGAGGCTACGGATTCGCTCGGATAGGCTCGACAACGAACGATCGTTAGCGGGATCTTCCCGCCGCGTCGCTTTCTTCCACGCGCCAACGAGCTTCTACCGTTGCGATCGAAGAATCGAACGCTTTCCGATCTTATCGCGCGCGTATCGGCAGTTTCGATTTTCGAAGGAAAAGAAATAAGAAATTATCCGAGGACGGCCATTTCGGAAGCCGTTCGTCCAAGGCTACGCGCGTTCGACGATTCCGTCGTTCGATCGTCGATCGCCCGTTTCTCTACCTGCATATTTCCCTAAATTTCGTAACAGAGAGACGATCCTCCGCGAAGCAAATTTTCGCGGAATCGAAGCAAGATTCGGAGATCGACCGTTCCCGAAGAACGCGCGAGGCCCGAACAAATTCGTTCGACGACCTCTCGCGACTCTCGCCGATCTCATCGGCAAAAAATAAGGAACCGCAAAGTCGCGGCTCCGCGAGTCCGAGGTCGGGCCGGGCAAAGTTCGCGCAACGTCCGAGCAACGCAGCCTCTTCGAATCGGACGCGCTTACGGACGGGTGGTGGACGGAACTACAAATACCGGATAAAAGATAAGAAGTGGTGCCCGCGAATCGTGTCTCGGAGTCCTCGGCCGGCCTCGTCGCGTTCCGTCGACTCTGGCTGCGCGGCTCCGGCGAAACGCGAACATGGAAGCATGGAAGTGAAAGGGCAAGCGATTCTCCGTAAGAAGCGCCGTCTCTCACGGATCCTCGATCTCTCCCCGTTGCGCGCCGCATCGATCTTCCCCATCGTCGCCGTGTTCTCTTTTCTCCGGCGATAACCGCTCGTTCCCGCGCCCGGGACTTTCTATTTCGTTCCCCGGCAACAACCTCCGAGGAAAGACGAAAAGGAAGAGGAGCGCGCGTCGCGCGGATCGGCTAATTGCCGGCGAAGCGAACGAGGCGAAGCGTCCGCGTCCGCGTTCGCGACAAAGGCGCGTAATCGCGTCGCGACCAAAGAAGCCGTTCTCCTGGAGGTTGTTGCCGCCGTCGCCGCCGCCGCCGCCGCTTCGTCGTTATCGAGAATCGAGACGAGACTTTCTACTCGTTCCCGATCGCGACACCGCTTCGAAATATATCCACTTACGATTATAACGTTGTTCGTAACTCGTAACGCCGAGGAACGCCGATCTTTCGATCGAGGAACTTTCTTCCACTTTCTCCGAGGCTGTAAACCGTTCCGAGTTATCGGTTGGAGTAGCTCAAGGTCGTTCAAGGTCGCGCGACCGAGGTCGGCAACGTTCGCGGGAAACGACCGATCGTTTTCGTCGCTTCGGCCGTTTCGGCCGTTTCGGCCGTTTCGGCCGTTTTGGCCGAGAACGATGCCCGAGAGGCTTCTCGAACCACCGCCAGGATGGTCGAGAGACACGGTCTCGGACGAGAGATTTACCCGTCGGATTTTTCAAATGCTCGGGACCGGTTTGAATCGAGGACTCCGAGGAGCCTGGGCCGCGGTTTCGCGCCGCGTCAAAAAAGTTTAGGAAAATGTTCGAAAGATATTCGAACGTCCGTTTCCGGTCGTTTCCGCGATAACAAAAATGTCAAGGGAAAAGGCGCGAAAAACGGGACAAAAAGGGCAAAGCGTCGGGAAATTACGATCCGGCTGTCTCGAACGCGTAAGAATTCGCCATCTACGTCGCGTCGACGTCTCGCGTCGAAAGCGCGATCGATCGACCGGACGCTGGAGCGGAGTCGATGTCGCGTCGGACGACGAAACACTCGAACGCGGTTTCGATGCACCGGACGAGTCGTCGCGGCCGGTAGGATCTCCGACCTTATCCTCTCGTTAGAAACTCTCGTCTCGCGGCGCGCGGCGCGCGGCGTCTCGAAGAGCGAGTCGGGAAAAGCGATGCTTTCCCGCGAGAGAACTCGAACAGCGAGACAGGCGTGGGCCGCGTCGTCGGAAGCGGACGACGAATAACAAGCGTCGTCGTCCCTTCCCTGGGACGCGCGCGATATCGCTAAATTCCAAGCGACGTTTCGTTCGCTTTTTCCAGCGCAGCCTGCCGCGCGTCGCGAGAGTACCGGAGCGGAAAACAAGAAAACCTTTGTCTTTGGTAATCGTCGCGACGATCGCCGCTCCTTCTTCCGTCTCGCGGAAGACGCTTCGATTTCCGACGTCCGGTGCCGTTGCGAACGGTCGTCGACCGTTTCGATTCGATCGCCGACCATGGAGCGGCTCCTTCGTTTTTCCGACGCGTCTCGATCCGTCGCGTTACATTTTCGAACGTCTGCGAACCGTTCGGCGTAAAATGCGTTTAAACGACGTTAACGAGCGGAAAAGACGATCTTACGAAAAGTCGCGGGTCGCGCGCGACAGCTTCGAAACGGGTCCGGATCGCTTCGATTCGGCAACGAATCGAGCATGTTACGAATCGTTCGAACGAACGAACGAACGTCGAATAAAACGGAGCTCCCTTTCTTCTTTCTTTTCACACATCCGGTGCGTTCGAACTCCTACGCGCGTAAAATCGTGCTCCGCGAGAAGTCGCGGGAACGCGCGTTCGAACTCGATTCCACCAGGGTTTCCAGTTTTCCCATTTCCAGCGATTTTCCTATCGCCTTTCGCGAATCGAGCGGCGTGGGAACGTTCGCGAAGTCGCAGAACCGATCTCCTTCCGCCGCCCGTAGACGCGGAAGCGCGTCCATCGACGTTGCCTGTTTCTCGTTTCTCGTTTCTCGTTTCCCGGCGAAGGTGGGATCTAGTTTCGAAGCCGAACTTTTCGACTTTCGAAAAGGCGAATATATATCATTTTAAAATATATAAAAATATAATTTAATAATTTTGGAAATTCAGCGCCGGGAGGAATCTCGAAGCTTCTTCCCTCTTCGAAAGCTTCTTCCTTTTTCCCAGCGATTCCCTCGGAGCGAGGGCGGACGAGCCAGAAGAATCGAGAAGATCTCGGTCTCCCCGCGACGCGACCGAGCAACTTTCTCGACTTTCGAACCGTTCCGTCGGTCATCGGATCACCGAGTGAAAGTAAACACGGGCAAGACACGGTCCTCGCGATCCTCGCGATCCTAGCGCTCGCTTCGCCGTGGCATTCGATCGGTGCTTCCTTTCCGGTTCGAATCGGAACCAGAGCCGATCTCGAACCTCGAATTCGATCCGTATCCGCCGATACGCGCGTTTTTCAACGACGATATTTTAGAATCGTTTTGAAACGAGATACGCTCGCGTTCGTCGAAGCGGCTAATTTTCGTCGGCTGCCAACGTTTAGACGGAGGGTGCTCCAAATCGCGTTCGTTTCCAATCGTTGTTTTACCACGGTCCCAAGAAAAATACAATGTTCTTTCGATGAATTCGTGTTCGTAGATGTGTATTTCATAAACTCGTACAATATGGTAGTTGTCGTAAACAAGCGTCAGAATCAACGATTTATTCGTTATCCATCGCAACGTCGAGCGTGTAAATTCTAGATGGAAGAACGACGGCGACGGTCGGTGGACGCTTTTTCGAAAATCGAGGTTAACGGTGTCTTCGACGCGCGAGGGATTCGCATCGTTTCGACTTTCCGATTTTCCGATCAACGAAAGACAAATTAATCGGTGAAAATGCAATTTCGCGTCGGTGCGCCGAACGAGCGGACTGCTCGAACTTCGAGAGCAACTTGAAAAAATTCGACGAGCTGGAACGCAAAGTCGTCCGTACCGTGCGAAATCCAAGTATTCTTTGCGGATCGATCGAAGCGAAAACGCGACGCTCGCCGATCTCGAGGCCGACGCGGTCCAGCTTTCGGCGGTCTCGAATGTTACAGATCGTTCGTTAACGAGTCCGGATTTGCATGGAATTCGGATTCGCGGCTTTCGAGCGATGATCGAGCGATGATCGAGCGATAATCGAGCGCGTAACGAGCGCGCGAACGACGCTAAGGATTAATCGACCGCGTCCGGCGAGGGAACGTTTTACGGTTCCTTTCTTTCCGTGGCATCAACAGCTTTCTCCGGATTTCTCGCGCGGCTGCGCCCGCTCGTGGCAAAAGGAAGGATCGAAAGCTTTATTTGTTCGAATCGAAGCAAACGCCCTTGTCCTTCTCGGAACAATCTTTTTAATAACATTTGCCGAAGCGATCGACGATTCGTCGCTCGGCGTATACGACAATGAAATGGAACAGAAAAGATCGCGCGATGTCTCCTAGCGAACGCGTTCGATAGAAATAGAAGTAGAAGTAGAAATTAAAATGGAAATGGAAATAGAAATAGGAATAATCTCTCGCTACACAGTTTCACCTCGATACGCGCACGCTCTACATCGTTTACGGCAAAAGTAATATTTTTGGACGATTTTTGGTATCGCGACGCGTCGAGCGCGATCTCATCGAGATCGACGCCGAGGGAACTTTCCACGGTTAGAAGCGCCTTCCAACCTCGACCTCCCGACTCTCGACCTCTCGACCTCTCGACCTCTCGACCTCTCGACCCGTCGCGCGTCGCGCGTCGCGTCGTCTATCGATCGGATAAACAGAGTAACTTTCACCGATATACGCAGGAACTCGGAGTTTGCTCGCGTTGGAATCGATCGTACCAACGGAAAGCCGTTGCCGTCGATCGTGCACGCACCGCGAGCCGACGATCGGTTGAACGGTCGGTCGAACCCGAGACGCGAAATTCGAAAAACGGTCGCCGCGCTATTTTCGGTCGTTCGGCGAACGATTCGCCGGATTTTATCGGCGATGCCGCGATTCGAACGCGGCCGCGGACGAATCCGTGGAAGAACGCGAGAGCATGGAACAAGAAAAAAAAGCTGCGTCGGTATTCTCGAAAACGCAACGAAACAACCTACTACGACCGAACGCTCGCCCATTTCGTCGGGGGAACCCTATCCTCGCTCCGTCTTTGTACAACGATAACGCCTATGCTACCCTAATTGCGCACGGATCGAACGGTCCGCGGTTGTCAAGTCCGAGCGCGCCGCGGCGGCCGAGTTCTCGCGTTCGCGGAGCTCGACCGCGCGCGCGCGCGCGCGGGTCGCTCGGAATTCGATCGAGCTACCCGTTGACCGGGTGCACGAGCCGCGGAACAGCGGCGTTGACCTGTACGGGGGGGAACGACTGGGAAGCCGAGAACGGGTTGGTCCGAATCGGCATGGACCTGAAGTCGTGCGGCGGCTCCATGGTGTCCTCTTTGACGGCGTAGCCCTTCTTCGACTGCGCGACGTTCAACGGCCAGCCGAACGATCCCGCGAACGGAGAGGAGGTCTGCTGTTGAACCGCCCGATGATAGCCGTGGATCGGTTGCTGGATCCGGGCTTGGGCCAGGCCTTGGGCTTGGTAACCGTGAGCCGGCAGGCCCGGGTCCGAGCCGGCCTGGAGGAGGTACCGGGGCCACGACTCGGTCATCTCGCGCAGCCTCTGCTGGTAGTCGTCGAGGGACACGCTGCCTCCGAGCACGACGCCCTCCTTGCTGCCGCCTATGGTGGCCTCCGGGATTCCGGCCGGCAGGATCACCTCGCCCCGAGGGTGCGACGCCGCGTTCCCGTACAGCTCCGCCGTCTTCTGCTGGAGGAGCAGGAGCTGCTGCTTGCTCCGATCGATGGCGGCGGTCAGGTCGATCGGGCTGTTCGCCGTCGACTCCTTGCCGATCGACCTCGACGCGTACAACTTGTCGCGCCTCTCGTCGTAGCCGAGCGCCGTCTCCGGGTCCGCGAACAACGGGCCGGGACCCGACTGCGACAATTCGAAGGAATTCGAATTCGAATTCGAATTCGACGGGCCCGACTGGTACTCGGGCCCCGATACGGCGAACGAGGTCGCCTCGTACCCCGGCTCCTGGCTCGGTTCCTCCGGATCTCCCGGGTACCTGCGCACATTCGTGAATGTCATTGCTCCGTGTTGGAAACCGCGAACGCGAAAGCGCTGTCCGAGCCGCGACCGCGGTCCGGGGAGACGGGGAGAATCGTCGGCGAGCTCGCGATTCTCCGATTCCCCGGTAATTCCGTGTTTCGGGACGCGGGAAAGCGACCGGAGAGCTCGACGGGAGATTTAACGCCTTTCTTTCGATCTCTTTCGATTTCTCTCTCTCTCTCTCTCCCTCTTTCTCTCTCTCTCTCTGGATCGAGATTTTTCGAGAAATTCGAAGGTCGGTCGCGCGCCGTTCCGAGCCGACTCGGCGGAAGGTACCGGAGCGATTTTTCGTTCGTTTCGTCCAGTACCGTTGACTCGCCGAAGTCGAGCGAGTCGAGTTCGTTGGGTCGAGCGAGTCGAGTTCGTTGGGTCGAGAGAAGTCGATCGAGAATTCGATATTTCGAAAGATTCGCGTTCGCGCGTACTATAAAAATTCCCGCGGACCGCGGGCAGCGGCGTTCTACCGATAAAAGTGAAACGCGTCGTTCGCGGCCAGACGGTTACTGGCATCGCAAAGATAACGACGCCCCGCGTTCGCGACGCCCGCGCAAAATTCTTTCGGTTGCAATTTCACCGATCGCGAACCATATTTTTCTTGGACTCGTTTTTCTTTGGAAAAACGGGTCGAATCGATCGTTGTTTTCCGTACGTTCGAGAAACGTTTTAAACGTCCGTGTAAATTGTCGACTTATCGGTTGCACGATTACGACGTTGCTCGTCGCGAGTACGCGTACCGCGCGCGCACCGAGAGGGTAGAAACCGTGCAATCGTTTTATCTTTTATCTACCGAACTCGTCTCGTGCGCGCGCGCGCGCTCCGACCGTCTCCGACGATCGCGTTCGCTGCGGCTGCGGCTGCGGCTTACCGCGATCTCGGTCATCGAATCGCTTCGCGCGAACGAACGGTGGAATCGCGAAAACGACGAAAGGCTTCCGGACGAAGAGAATTCCGTTCGAGGGATCGCGAAGGGTGTTCGCGACTCGTCGACGGCGGCGGCATCGATCGCTTACTTTTCACCGACGAAGGAGAAGCTGCCCTTCGCGTGTTCGTAAGGTATGTAACCCTTGCCGAACGAAATCGCGTGACCGACGTCCTTTCCATAGGGTATTCGCACGTGGTTCACGGTCTCGTGACCTTGATCGAAGTCGTCTCCGCCATGAGGGTAGGGCAGATCCGCGTACGTGGGCCGCTTGCGACGATAGTACCCCTGCGGACCGTGATATCGACGGAAATGGGACTCGTGAGAGGATTTTCTGAATCGGGGTGTCACGGATCGCCACTGGGGTGCCGGGCTGCGTCTTATTTGTTGCGGAACCACCACCACCACCTTGTCGCTGAAAACCAAACCCAAAAATCTTAGTCGTTCGCGTTCGCGTTCGCGTTCGCGTTCCCCTCGACGGTTCGCGGGTCGATCGATCGAGCAGCGGTTGGAATTTTAAATCGTATTCGTTTGAAAATTACGCGATCGATGCGACGTTTCTTCGACTCGAATAAAAAGAAAAACGGTGACCAAAAATAAATTAATCGCGCGTATCTTCGAGTTATATTTTTTACGAGCGGGAAGAATAAAAGCCAAAAGATGCTACGAAATCCTCTTCCGATCGCTCGTCTTCGCGTTCGTACAAAAAAACCGGCTAAAGGTTCCTCTCGATCTCTTCGAAGAAAAGGCGAAAGAAAGTTCTCCTTTGGTCGCGTTACTCGTTGTTCGAAACTTTTCTTCGGTTAGGAGGGACTCTTGAGATTCGAACTTGCAACACGGTCCGTCGAGGAGAACGAGACCAACGTTTGTCGCGCGTCTCGCGCGTTATACTTACGCGAGGCTGAGCAGGGGCTCGCTGATCGCCAGCATCAGAATCCAGATAGCCTGTAGACGTTCGTCGAAGCGTTAGTCGTTGACCGGTAAAAATTAAACCACCGGCCATCGAGCAACGGACATTGGACCGTACGAGTCGAGGTTACGAGTAAAATCCTGCCGGGTCGCTTCTCGTTTTTATCGCTCGACGAAGACGTTAATTTCCGATCGGTCTTAAATATTTCTACCGATAAGAACATTTTCCGATCGAACGAGATCGATCGTAAAAATGTTCGAAGCGCACAGGAGTCTGCCGAATCGTTGGCATTCGCGTTAACGTTATTTTCGGTTATCATTATTATTATTATTATTATTATTATTATTATTATTATTATTATTATTATTATTATTATTATTGCCATTGTTTCTACCTCCGCCGTATTCGGAGAGTCGCGGATGTCGAGCGAAAATGGCTAGGTCGGCGGCGCGTACGTACCGTAGTCAAAAGCCGTAAAAAGCCATCGATAAAAATACTCCGTAAACGTCCTCTATCCGGAAAAGCTATCGACCAACTGGAAAACTACCCGGAAAGAAAGCTGGCCGACTAAAAATCTTGGCGAAAGATCCAACTTACGGGCGACCACATGACGGCTGGTCCAGGCAGCGATCGACGAATTCGAGGATCCGACGCGACGAGGCGATAAATCCTTGTCGGGACCGGGGTTGCAGCGGGTTCGCCGTTGCAGCGGGCTCCGCGTACTCGAACCGGCGCGGATAGATTGCGAGCGTCCGGCGCGGGTCGCTTCGCTTTTATACAAGATAAAAAGAACATAATCGAGGTTCCGACGGACGGACGGACGAACGACCGCCTCCCACTCGTCCCGAAGGGGGGGGGGGGGGGGC